CAGCAACGAATGTCTCCGGGCATGCAGAAACGTTGGTCCCGGTCTGGCTCAAACCATACGAATCGAGGTAAGTATCTGAAACAAAAGAAAGTAAAGCTGATAAGACGTTTGATTTTTTCTCAGGAAAATTGGTTTATTTTATGGTTTTTGTTGTTTGTTTTTGACAAATTCACAAAATAAACAACCTTTGCCCTTTTTGATCTACAGTCTGACAGTCTTGATTTTTCACTTGGCTTTTTTTTTTCTAACTCACCCTCTCCTTTGTTGTTTCCTTTTTTTTTTTTTTTTTTTTTTTTTTTTTTTTCTCGCCCATAGACAACACAATGCATCAACAAAACCATATAGATATCAATGACCCCAAAGTACAGAAACGCCTCCGCACCAAATACAACCTCATCCGCGAACTTGTTGAGACTGAGGAGACTTTTAATCTCGACCTCAGCGTTATTTCTGACGTGTATGCCAACACTCTCACCAAGCCGCCGTATCTTCACTATGCCAGTGCCCCAGACGTGAGGGCGCTCTTCTCAAACGTCAAACAGGTTCTTGTTCTTTCTCGTCGGTTTGTCTCACATCTCAAGGAATGCGTTCCTGCATACATTCTCTACGAATGCGAACCCAAAGACGGCGAAATTCTGAAAGATGTCAGATCATATATCGGCGAAGTTATTCTTGAATATATTCCAAACTTAGAGGCGGTGTACCGAGTTTACTGCAAACAGAGTCAATTCCAATTAAACACCTTCTACCGACTCGATACTCTCGGCCCGCCCATGATACAGACCTGGCTCCACGACTGCCGCGAGTTGTCAAAAGACTTTACCCAGGCTTGGACTCTTGACGCACTGTTGATCAAGCCTGTGCAGAGATTGATGAAATATCACCTACTAATAACCAGCATGCTTGAAGCGACGACAGCAGACCATCCAGATTACCCAGCACTGAAAAAAGGCCTGGATAAGATGCAAGAGGCAGCCAACAAAATTAATGCATTGGAACCAGTAAATATGTATGTGTATCAGAAAAAAATGGACAGTCTGTATGATGAAGACGACAGCTACAAGGATGATGGCACGATACTCACCAAGGTTGATTATAACACCGCCATGAGCCGGCTCAAAGACTACCCTAGAATTGATGAAGAGCTCGAAGTACTAATTGTCCAATTCGATCGAAAACACCGCCACGTGAAAAACTTGATGAAGTATTTGCGTGAAAACATTGAGCAGATTCAAAACCATTTTGATGCTAACAGCTCGTTTGCCCATGCTTGGAGCACCTGGGGTGCCGACGATAACAAACGAAGCAAGGTATACAAGAAATTCGCCCTTTTCTCCCTCCCGTTCACAACATCCTCATCAGCCAGCGTCTCTACCAATAAACTTCTCGACCAGATTGAGGATAATGTACTGTCCCCATTGCAGAAAATGTACGAGTACTACCATCAGGCGTCGAACACGATCCTACTTCACGATCGTACACACGCGGCGTACCAGCGCTACACAGAATGGCGCGTCGTGGCTGAGGGTTCTCATGATCAGCCAGAGTTGCCTGCCGAGGTGCTGGCAGATGCGGATGCGTTTATGTTGTCACATAACCTGCTCAAGATTGAACTTCCAGAGCTTTTCAGCAGCACTGAACGTGTCATTGATGCATCTCTCGTGCGATTTATTTCAATCCAGCGTGACTGGTTCCGCATTGCTGTTGACTCGACTTCCAATGTGTTTGGGCTTACATTAGACGACATTCGAACCACAACAAGCGACCCTATTGTCAGCACATTTGAGCGGCACCAATCGCGTGTGGCGCGTGCGGTGGTGGACGAGAAGCTACGCATTTGTCATACGCTCGAGTCAACGGGCACAGGGTTTGACGCGGTCACCTTGGTAGAGTCCTCGCAACAAACCCACCACTCGTCACACCACATACAACCTCAGAATTCACACTTGTCGCAACACAAGGAATACCAGGTGCAACAACAGGCGCAGCAATTACAATATGCACAGCAAATCCCAAGACAACACACTCTCACGACGGCGAAAAGTCTCCAGCTGACATCTGTTTCGTCACCATCATCGTTATCATCTGCATCGCAGGACAGCGAGTCCATTAACTCTGCTACCACTCCAACAACACCGCAGCAGAAGCGCCGCAGTATGATTCTAAACTGGCCTATTCGCAAAAATACTCTCCGCAAATGAGCCTTTTTCTTTTCGGCTGGTCAATTCCATAAACAAAACCGAGTCACCTACAGGCCCATTTATTGCCTAACAAAATTTTTTTATTTTTATTTTTTTTTTAATTTCTTTTTTTTTTGGTGTTAAAATCCCATCCCTTCTATGATAGAATAGCATTACCGCCAAGAGTTGATTCCCGAACAGAGAGGATTCATCTCGATCTTTTAAGTAATTTTTAATGAGACATGAAATGTAACGAAAACTAGAAATCTTTTTTTTTCAATATTGGCCAAACAGCTATAACATCAATTGATAAATGAAAAGAGGACGCCATGCACAAAGTTGTTATCTTCCTCCAGAGAAGATAATGAAGATTATTACGAGCTAGTGCCTTTTTTTTTTTTCATTTAAATCTGATTTTATTTAATTTAAATTTTTGTTTGAAACCCGGTTTGGGACCAAAAGGAACTTGATGCATGTAATTTGATTAAGCGAAACGTTTTAAGGGGTGTAACAAGAAGGGGGGGGGAGGGGGGGGGGGGAAATTCAAATGTAAATAAGCACAAACTTAAATGGCTGCGAAAAGGTGAGACTCACGTACATGAACGTGGTCCGAGAGGAACAAAAATAAAACAAAATAAATAAAATAAATAAAATAAATAAAATAAATAAAATAAATAAAATAAATAAAATAAATAAAATAAATAAAATAAATAAAATAAATAAAATAAATAAAATAAATAAAATAAATAAAATAAATAAAATAAATAAAATAAATAAAATAAATAAAATAAATAAAATAAATAAAATAAATAAAATAAATAAAATAAATAAAATAAATAAAATAAATAAAATAAATAAAATAAATAAAATAAATAAAATAAATAAAATAAATAAAATAAATAAAATAAATAAATAAAACAGGGGTACAACAGAACCAGCAATGGTAAGGTTGACAGAGAGAGAGTCTCATTTTTTGTAGTTCTCTCTGTGACGCATGTAACATGGCCAGCCCGGAACAACTAAAAAAAAAACTCTCCCATGAGGACCCAAGAATGTGACAGAAAATAAAATTAAAAATATATATACATATTGCATAATAGTTACTTGAAATCGTGGTCTAAAAACAAAATATCACAGGTTGACCAACCAGAAAAAACAAAAACAAAATTTAGTTGCTGGTCAATGGCGCAATTCGATTATAACAACCTGGGATTGAAACAGTAAGCGTCAGGCTACAGTGTCCGCCCACTCTTGCTTGTTTGTCGAGGAGAATACTCAGGCTGCCCAAAAAAAAAAAAAAAAATTATATTTTTTCTCAGGGGCGACGGAGGGATGTGCAAATGCATCATGTCCTAGTTACGCCTTGCGCATTTCTCCCAAGAAGAAAATACAAAAAACACAGCTTGTGGTGGAGTCAAGTCACAAGTCGCTGCCTGTCACTCGCCTGCAATACTGTTTCATAAATTGTCAATCATTGTCCCGGCACTCATGTCGAATCTATCACGGGTCGCGCTGTTTTTTTGTTTCTTTTCTTTCTTTGTATTGGTTTCTATTATAAGCTGATAGACTTTTAGTGTATGCTTTATTTATTTTAATTTATATTGTATCGCCTGGACTTGGTGTTAGCGATTTCTTTTTTTTTTTTATCTCTTCATCGCTTGATAATTGTGGCGATAAGTTCTTCTGCTTCCCTTATCATGCGCGCGTGTAAGCGTAGTAATGGTGGAACAGGGGACATTAGAATAAACGGGGAGGTTTCTTTGGCCAGGACCAACCTACAGTTGGTATCCTCTCTCCTCTTGCTCGTGTCCTCCTTTTCAATCAGCCAGACTTCTGAAAAGAAATCAATCTGGCATTAGGAACCCACTTTATAGTTTCAATATCCAAAAGGCATGAATTAAAATTGAATGAAAATAACAAGGATATATATAAAAGACATCTTGAGATACTTTTCTGAGGGAGATTAAGCAGTTGCCCCAACTGATGCTTAATATTTCGGCATTCGAAAGCACCGAATTCGTCACGGTCTCAACCCACGTGCCAATGGAATCTCTTCAACATGACCACTGTGTGTTTCAGTGGAAGCGCAGCCTGGTGGAACTTTGAACATGGCTACAAGATAACCATTAGCTGCGTGGATGCGTAAAAAAAAAAATAAACTTGGCTACTGCTTCAATGCTCTTCTTGCCATCAACCCAGAGGTAATCTCAAGCACCTATGCTCAGTCCCCCAAGGGGCGGCATGTGTTCAAAGAGTATGTGTGTCCGTTTCAGGGCGACCGCATTGTGGTTTTTTTCCTTTTAAGGCTTGCACTAAACGTGAGATTCCCGTGTTTGGCTCTCAATTGCACTAGTTTACTCCATGTGTTATGGGTTACTTTTGCCATGAACGTGCCAAAGAGGACTGCGGTGGCCAGGGTCCCTATATAGCCTCGGTATGGTGTGTTTTCTGTCAAATGAAGTTGCCTTTGGTGCCAGCATTGAACCCTGACTTTTAAGATGCCTCCTTCACTAATAGCCCTTTTTTTTTATTTTATTTTATCTATGATAAGGTTGAAGCCATGCGAGATCTCAGCTGGTTTTTTTTTTTTTTCAGTTTTCCTGGCCTTGAATTTCTTTCAATAGTTATTTTCATTTGTTGGGGCTGACGAAACAGTAGCCCCAGCCGCTCGTTCTCAGCCACCAGATCTAGTTTATCAAGATACGGACATGAGAAAATAGAAGCTACCTCACTAACGCTACATGTACTTTAGTTTCAAAACAAAAAACAAATACATTTTTAACGTTTTTGTCTTTATGTGCACAAAAAGATAAAAAATAATAGCGTCACTTGGTTTCGATCCAAGGACCCCAGGGTTATGAGCCCTGTGCGCTTCCTCTGCGCCATGACGCTTAATTGATACATGTTATATTCATGTTTTGTACCCAACCAACGACTACAAAATTAAGAAACGAACTTGTTAAACCCGAAAATGTTAATAAAAAGGATCTCCTTTTATAATTTTAGGACGGTAACACTTATTTGAAGTTAGCATAGTAAGGTGTAAGTATATAATGGGCAAAAGTAGTCTGACTAGAGGACTCTCTACTGTCACCAAGAAAGGATGCTGCCCAAACGAATTTTGTCAGGTTTCCCTTAGCACATGGATACTTTCATGGAGAATTCGGCGCCATCGAACGTCTGAACCTATTACGCGCGCTGACACCGCTACTTTGCCAGTCTCATAGAGACAAATCTTTTTGAAATTTCATGTCTTCTTTGTATGTCATTCTGTTTTGTAATTTTGTATGTAACTATTTGATGCAAGGCCAATAAACTGATTATCTATCCAAGCATTGACAGTTTTTTTTTTTCTCTAATTTTTTTTTTTTTACATTACTTATAGAAGCCGCGCCCATTCTGCTGGAAGGGTGCCATGGACGCTGCGGCATCTTTGCCTAAAACTAGCGGTTTCCACTATTCCTTGTGCCTGTCTAAAGTTACGCTACTTTGCCAGTCTCATAGAGACAAATGTTTTTGAAATTTCATGTCTTCTTTGTATATCGTTTTGTTTTGTAATTTTATGTAACTATTTGATGTAAGGACAATAAACTGATTATCTATCTATCTATCTATCTGTCTAAAGTTAAGGGTATTTGTGAAACCAAAAAAAAAAAAAAAAAAAAAAAAAAAAAAAAAAAAATTTTTTTTTTTTTGAGTCAACCCTCGTTGAACCATGAGAATATGGGCATCTGCATGTAATTTTAAAACTGTTTCTATCATCTGTATACACGGAAAACCAGCACCATCAAATATTCTCACAAGACTGCTAAACGCGTGTTGCTTGCAAGTTTACATATAACCCAGGTTTCAACCCCGAATGTAAAATACTTGAAACAATAATCACACAATAGTCCCGAACCATAAACAGATATTCTACTCTTGTCCTTAGACAGGGACATGAGAAGGGGGGGGGGAGTTTAGCCGACTGGTTCCGGGATATCAGTGCTGGCTTTTTTTTTAGTAGTAATAGCAATAATAAAATTAGTTTATCGTTCTAAAATCTATACCATTTCACAACCTAATCAATATATACCCACAACTACCACTAATGAATATAATATACACACACATACGTCATTATAAAACACCCATGCTTGTGACAATGGGGTGGTAATGAGATGCCGCTCCAGGTATGTATATATACAGCCCGGTACCCATGATTTATTGATAGACATAACCCAATTATCCATGCGGCTGAGCTTGACAAAAAAAAAAAAAACCTGCTCAAAGCAAGCCATTCCACCCGCGGGAGGGATGTGATAAGATGGGGTCAAATCGATACAAAAAAAAAAAAAACAAGGTATTCATTATGAATGCTAAATCTTTTTCTTTTCTTTATTACCATCATTTGCCATGTCTGGTTTGGAAATAATAAAAAGCAAAAATTGAACCTCTGGAGCAATATTTATTTGACATGCACTGGCATTTTTTGGGCTTCAACGCACAGGTATTACAGCCTTGGTTTTATACCAAATTCATTCAAATCAAATCAAAAAAATAAATAAAAAAAAGCCAACATTTCTATATATAATTGTAATATAAACAATTAGATAGATGTCAAGCAATCCTTAGTCTTTAATTCTTTTTTCTTGTTCACAAGTTAAAATACCAATTTCCATTTATTCATTTATAGATTATTGTATTCATTGCCCTTTTCCAGTTCCCCCAAAAAAAAAAAAGAAAAAAAAAGACCACGGGCCCAGACCACACAGTACGGTCCTGCCCACTTTGCTACCCGGTCCAAAAATCCCTCCCAAAAAAAAGGTACAAGAAAAAATTATTTCACGGCTGGGTGCTGGTCAACTGACTCGAGCCACTGACCCCATAGAAACAGACGGTGTAACATACATGTGCAAGTAATCTAAAAGGTCCAAAATTTGAGGTTTTTTTTTTTTTTTTTTTTTTGCTTTTGGCCTCAGCGTTTTTAATGCCCCGAGTAGGTGACCCACTGTCTTGCCTTCCAAAACCGGGCTACACCAAAAAGCAATGAAGAAAACATAATTAATTCATTAAATCAAACGAAAACTAATATACATGACAAAAATACCAATAACATAAAAGACATAACAATACAATAATAATTAACAGTTGGGTGATTGAGAGTTCACCGGTTTATGATATCTCTGTGCGCAGGCACGGGTTTCATAAAAAATAAATAGTATCCAAAAAGAAAAAAAAAAGAGCCACGGGTATACTCCATGAATTCAACACCTCGAGATAAAAAGGTTAGTACTAAAGACTAAAAAGTGGCAAACCTAAACAGGCGCGCAAGTACACCTGGAGACATCACGAGTTGGGCGTTGAAAAGTACACGGAAGGGTTGTTGCCAAGAAAGCTGGCGGCGGAGTTGTCGCTAGACCCATTGCTGCTATTATTGGTGCTGGGCCCGCTGGGGTTAAGATCGAGTCCGGCCGATCGCGCCGTCGTATACGTGTTGTAAGGTGCTCCCGGGTTGCCGTTTCCACTAGGGGTGCCTGGGTTAAATAACGGGTTTGTCGATGTCATGAAACTCGAAAACCCCTGGCTCGCATACCCCTGCTGCTGCTGTGGTGGCTGCTGGTTATCAAACGGAAAAGACCCGTAGCCACTGGATCCGCTTGCCACGCTTCCAGAGTTGACCATACGGTTGCTGCCCACTCCAAAGTAGCCCACGGGACTATAGTAGTTCCCCCCGTTGCCCGGGGTGAGCGACTGCGATGGAACCAGGTTTGTGTTAAAGTTGACTGGCGACGGCAGGTTGAACCCCTGCTGGGGGTTGAGAGCGCTGGGGCTCGTGCTCGAAAGAGGATTAACTGACGACATTAACGTAGAGTTGGCAGTACCGCTCGTAGTACCTGCGCTACTCGGGTTGGTGGCGACGCCGCTAAACGAGGCTGTGGATGAGAGCGAGCTGGTACGCGACATGGTTGACGCGGCCTTGACACTGCCGGGGCTGCTTTTCCGCCGAGTTGACTTGGGAGACATTTTCATCTGCGTGACTGGAACCGGCATAACCATTTGCGGCTGTTGCTGTAATGCATACATTGGACTTGTGTCAGCGGCGGTAGGTGCCCCTTGCATATTAAAGTTGGGCTCAATAATGGATGCAATGGAGTTTTGGCGGCTGGTTTTGCTAAGGTCGTTCATAAAGGACATGTATTTCGGATTGGTTTGCTGGTCGTCAAAGCTGGGCAAGAGTTTGATGGAGTTGCGGAAGATGCGGTTGTTAGGGTACACGTATATGGGCCCCGAAAATAAGTCTGGTGAAGTTTCGTAAAATTGCGCTGTGGCGAGTTCTATAAAGTCATCAACGGATTCAGAGGGGGTTTCCTCTAACGGATAAATATATGTCTCAACAGGCAGGCTATCGTTCATGTCACCCATAAACGCAAGCGATGCTGGATTAGCGCGGATTGACTGCACTAGGCACATAATGTCGGTAATCAGGTTAGGCGAGATAACCGACGACGGGTTGGACAGAGCAGTGACAGCAGGTACTGTGACGGTGGAGAATGACGCGGATGCCATATCTGTATTGGGGGGAAAACTGATATTGTTGGTGCCGTTGAGCAAATTAGAGCGGTTCCAGGCCTGGGTGATAGAAGCAAAGTCAAGATCGTTGATCCAAGCCTTTTGAATCCAAAAGATTGCCATATACAGATTTATGGCATAGTGCGGATCCTCAATCTGGTCAAATGTCTGGATAGGCCCCTGGCTATATGTTTCAAGTTCATGTGACTTGTTAAATACAGGTTCGGGCAGATCTTGCCCAATGTCCTGCTGCATATAAAAGTCAGATATGAAGGAAAGAAGATTTTTGCGATAAAGTGCTTTGAAGTTTTGAAAGATGCCAAGCTCCATGGGCTGAAAGAGGATATTGGGTGGTAGCAGCTCAACAGTGGTGAACCGTAGCGAGGCCCGGTCGATTAGGGTGGTGAAGGCAACTTCATGGGGGCCGCTGGGACTAACGAGAAGAAGCACTGGGTGATCCATAAGGCTGTCAAACCATGAAAGCCATTTACGCCATTCGGTTGCTGTCATCCATGCTAGCACGTTGCTAGAATAGACAGCATTTAAACATTTAATGTCATTACCAGGGGCTTCAAATGCTCGCTGCGTTTTAAAGTGGCCAACGATCCAAGGTGAGAGCCGCTTCGTGCCAGTTGCGTTGGTGGCAAGCGCAACTGTGATGCGCTCGCTGGGAACGCCGCGGGGGTAGGATGCGTTATCGCGGAGGGCGTTTGCGTTAGGCACCAGCCGCCAGAACAACTCGGTTTCGGACATGGTGAAGATGTCATCTCTGTGGTAATTTGCTGCTTTGGCGTATATTTTGTCGAGGCCATTTAGCGTTGAGTTAAGGTCGATCATGGAGGGGTGGTTGGGCGAAGTGGCAGAGGCAATAGCGACGGCCTGGTTTACACGCTCTCGGGTGGAGGCGGCCTCTACTTGCAGACAGCGAAGCTTGATGCCATGCCGCGTTTTGAACTTTTCGACCCATCCGCCAGATAAAGTTGGCGGTGGTTGACCAATATATGAGGGGATTTTTGGCCATAGTTCGTGGGCGGTGCTGAGGAGAACGGCGCCAGTGAGGTCGATGCCTGCAGTTTTCATTCGTGATATGCATTCAGCTAGAGCAGTTTCGAGGTCCGGGTATTTTGGAGACCGGCAGCGTTTTGCGTCATCATGGGTTGAGCTTAGTTGGTCGATGCGGTCGAATTTTGAGGAAAGAATATTTGAAATGGTGGATGTGGGGAGATCGATAGCGTAGTGTTTTTTGAACCATTGCTTGACCATTTTATGGCCGCGAGGCTTTTCTACTTTGAAGTAGTTACGAATGGCCTTTTTCTGGGCGATTGTAATTTTGAGCCGTT